ATAGATAGATAGATAGATAGATAGATAGATAGATAGATAGATAGATAGATAGATAGATAGATAGTAGATAGTAGATAGATAGACAGATACGACCTACAGTGAGTATAGTAGTCGGTACAGCTAGTAGATAGATAGATAAACAGACAGATATGACCTACAGTGAGTATAGTAGTCGGTACAGCTACAATTCGATCACGACACATCGTATATGATACGGCGCAGCGCGTGTGTGTCTATAACGTTAATGCCGGACTAGTGTTCCGCGGCGTTCTGGTGGCGATCTCACGTATTAGAGCATACGGTCTTGGGAATGCGTCGCTACAGACATCCGTTCACGTTCGATGTTTCACGTTATTAATTAGGGTATAAGCGTGCGCTAACCGCCCAGGCTTAACCTTCACTATACGCAAGATAATCAGGCCAAGGGTATGCCTATGCATATTCGACGCGCAGTTCGTTTAAGTCCATCCACTTATAGTGTCAGACTATCTGTAGCGAGTGTGTCATGTCGGTGCGCGTGTGTCTGCGTGCGTGCGTGCGTGCGTGCGTACATGTGTGCGTTCGTGCATGCGTTCGTGCGTGCGTTCGCGCGAGCGTGTGTGCATGTGTGTGTGCGCGTGTGTTCGCACGCACATATGGATGTAGGAGTTTGCAATAGCGCACACCGATAATGGCTGGGTATAATTGATTAATAACTAATAATTGGTTAATAAATGGTTAATATGTGATTAATCGATGACACTATATTGTATGGCATCGGTATCGAACAGATGTTCTTGCCATATTGCTTGAAAACACAGCGATCCATGCAAGCTCGTAACTATAATATGCAAATTAGTTTAAGCTCATTAACTTCTTAGTCGCTCGTGATAGCCAGGCCGCAGTATAAACAGTCATTCCCTAAGCATATACCGCGCAGGTTTTATTCAGTTATTATTATTTGAGAGAGAACCAATAATCTCCTGAACGCATATATATCTGAAAGTTTATAGCGAAATGAATTCTCACTCGATTCTTATTTAGAAAATCCCGGTAAGTTACAGAGATCGTAATGAGATATGGAAATAGACTGGAATCAAGTGACGCCTGAGGTATGGCTCAGGATATCAGCCGTCAGCCGTGGACGTGCTATCGTCTACCATCAACGTGCCCTAACATCGTTTGTTAATGTTTAACATCGAATTTTGCTAATTAGGACTGACTCGAAGTTTACAGGGGCTTATCTGCGCGGGAAAAGGGATTGCATGTGTCGCCCCCTGGTGTCTCGTACTGGGCATGGTACAAATACTTGCCCCCGCAGTTGTCTGCCTACACTACAGACGCGCGGACTACACGTACCGCCAATTAACGAATGTCACTGAGATATCACTGAGGAAGGTCGGCGGTTCAACTCCCGGTCGGGTCATACCAAAGACTTGAAAAATGGTATAACACACGGCTTCTCTGCTTAGCATTCAGTAAATAGAGATAGAGTGTGGCAAGTTAACTCGCAGTGCTACCAGTGGACTAACCCTCTACTGTAGCATTTACTGTGAAAGCAGCTGCGGGGCCCCAGGGTTACAGAAACGGAGATAGGCACCGCCCTATGCGCCTGTAGCTATACGCTATGCGTATATGAAGGCGCGGGAAGGATTTAACTGAGATATTACATCGACGAACTTTTCACGGCAATTTGAACAACTCTACTAGCGCGTGTGTTTCCCGCGTCGGTGTCGTTAGCGCGGTGGTTGAACACAGTTGATTGAAGCTTTTGTTACAAAACGTTGTAACGGTGGCAATCACGAAGCGACGTCTCCTTAGCGCGATAACAGCACGCCGACGATACTGATCAGCGAACGAGAGGCTGTCCTGTACTGCTATCGTTAGCACTAACCGGCACCAGGCACTCACCCGCGGTTGCCAAGAAGCAAAGTCAAGAAGCAAAAAACACCGAAGAAAACGAACGGCAACCGTAAGGCGGGTACTCTAAAAATCATCCGCAAGCGTCTCCGCGCTATCACATCGCTGTTCCTACTACACGACAATTGTGTTTGCACATGCTCTCAGCCGCTGCTGCGGCGGCTACGTGGATGCGGCAGAGCTTGTGAAGCTACATTAATAAACGCTAATCAGCTTTGATAAGCGCGACCGAAATTCATTCCGTATTTCATTCATCTGACCTCTGCTTTCCGATGCAAGGCCACTCATCGACAAACAAGCAGATCGAATTTCTCTTCGCCCCTTTGATTTGTCGGCAAAGACTGAGACTGCGTGTGTATATCTACGCACCTGTCTTAGACGTCTGCCCGTATGCACATTAACAGCAACGGGGACACATTTCAGGGATAGACTAGCCAGGCATTCACAGGTTCGCTACGCAAGAACACCGGAAGCAACCGGCGGAACCGCTCTCGCAGCGCATGCGCAGACTACGCGCGCGCGCGCGTGTGTGTGTGCGTGTGTGTGTATGTAAATATATATATATATATATATATATATATGTCATATGCGCATTGCATCTAGGATCTACGTGTGCGTGCGTGTGTGTGTGTATGTAAATATATAACTATAACTATAAGATATGAGTAGGATATAAATGTTTGTCATATAATATTACATGTTTAGTAAAATTGTTCTTTTCATGCTCAAGGACTACAGCTACTACTATGCGAATTACCTTCATTTATGAACTTCTTGTAACGAAGTATAATTAGTATGCTCATATATGCACTAATGCTGAGAGGGTCTATGTCCCCTGGGGTACTGCCGGAACGTACTCAGGGTACGGTCCGGTATACCGGAACGTACCCTGGTACTATCTAATATGCCGAACCGTACCTCGTCTACTCCACTAACGAGTCTAGGGAGTCGCCTACGCCTACTCCCTAACCCGAACCCTAACCCTAATCCTAACCCTAACCCTAATTCTAACCCTAACCATATCAAATAGTGACCAGGGTACGTTCCGGTATACCGGACCGTACCCAGGGTAAGTTCCGGCAGTACCCTGGGGGACATAGACCCTATGGCTATGAGCTGCACTAATGCCGCAATGGCATGCCACTAGTGGCACTACTTTGTAAAACTGTTTATGCCATTTGATTTACCTGCTTTTACCATCACTGAACTATGTTACCATCACAGTGTTGTATATATTCTGTATAACGTATAATATAATGTAATGTACATATGTGTTTCTGGAAATAAAGGACATTATAAAAAAAAAGTTTGAAGTTACACACCAAATCATGTTTTTCCATGGGCGCAGACATGCTGACGTCGAATGTGGCGACACCTATATAGTTTTTTTGTCAACACATGAAAGTACAGCACTCGCGCCAGATTTGTGAGAGGCTGACTGCGGAGTAGTAAAGAGGAGGCGGCTGTACTTGAGCCACGAAGTGTACATGATGGAAGAGAGGATGGTGAAGAGATTTTCTGCATTTTCTATATTTTTTCTTCTACTAGAAATGAATATTTGTGCGCAGTGCTCGAGCATAGATGGAGAATTGGGCGATCGCCACAAACCTGCAGTATTATTGGTAATTCTAGCTAGAAATAAAGCGCACACGTTACCACAGTACTTGGGATTCATAGATAACTTGGATTATCCTAAAGATAGGATCAGTTTATGGTAAGTACGAGGTGTTGTTATGCATTATGTACTAGTCTAGGAAATGCCGAACAAAATTGAGATATCCCATTTCATTCAGCATTTCAAGAGGATTTTTAAAGCTATAAATAATTAAATATGTAATTTATACGTACTATTCAGTGTTCAGATATTCATATATTCATTTATAAATTAAATAGCGAATAATGTAACTCAGGTTTACCACGTTTACTACGTCATAGAATAGAAATTAGAATACGTTCGGTTGGTAACATCCGTTTTTTCATTTATAAAGTAAATAAGTACGCGTGTATGGTGATAATCACATACCCTAGGCTTCAATTAAACTGTCAGAATCAGTTTCTACTTTAATATCATGCAGTCACATTGATAATATCAGTTTGACTTATATATATACATATGCGTGTGCATACCAGATGTGCTTCACTTTCTCTAGGGTCAGAGCAGATCACAGCATTGACAACACATCAGCTGTTCTAAGAGAGTGGGTGAATGGCGCAGGTCCACTGTACCATTCGTACGACATGAGGTTCGATGACTCCCCATCCTTCTTCGCTGATGAGATTGGCCCCATGGACTGGCCAGAATCGAGATACTACCACATCATTAACTTACGAGAGGAGGCATTAAACGCTGCAAGGCGAATGTGGGCTGACTATGCATTTGTGCGTAATTTTTGGTATTGTAGAAATGGTAGAAATTTTGTTGGTGTTGGAGGTGTTGTTGTTGTTGTTGTTGTTGTTGTTGTGGTTGTTGCCATTGTTGTTATCGTTTGATGCAGTTTACTCTTCACAAGCAAATGCTCATTGAGAGGGTCTCTCTCCATGCAAATATCACCCCTGGTAATGCAAGCACTCTACAAGTACAATTGTTGTAATATGGTTTTTGAAGCTGAGGATTTTTGTAGTGTTTCTGTTTTGGTGTAGTGGTGGTGCTTGTAGATGACGCAAATGAAACAGTAACAGCCGACTCACAGGAATCATACTTTACATGTACTCTAACGAGTTCGTCACAATGCGTACAGATGAAGTTGTTGACTCTAAGCGAATTACTGAGCGTTTCCCGGATGTCTCGAATGATACCTCCCTTTATAGAGGCCATGGTTTCCCTCATTGTTCTTTGTTTACCTTATCATTGCTAGTAATTACTGATCCTTTCTCTTAATCATCTGCTACTTCTGTGTCTTCCACCAACCACGAGCATTATATCAGCTTTCTAGCCATCACTAAATCACTTATGTCGCATACTAGTCGTCCTATCGTTGCTAGTGGTTATGTACTGTCTCCTCTCCTGAATTTCTACTGCCCCTCTATCCTCTACCAACATTAAGCGTTATCCCGCATTGTAACCATCAATAAATCACTGTCGTCAGAGGACCTGCTATTCTATGTAGTGATTGCAGTGTCTTTGTTACGCTTGTTGTAGGCGCTACAGTATATTTTCTGGCTATCCATGCTATTGCTAATACAGGGTTTTTGGCAAAATTGTATACCCCTTTGTAAATGTATTCTATCAGCATGCTTTATGTGCATATTTTTCATTTCAGTTTGTTGACAGTGATAACTTTTTGGAATATGAAGACACACTTAATGAATTAATCAAGCAAGAAAGGTTTGTATATAACACACACTATATATATATATATATAACCCCAGCTATTTGCATTTTTATAACAGACGATGTTACAGTTGGTCGGTTCAGTTGCTAAGTTAGGCAGGATCATAAAAAGAGCTTGATCTTCCAACGTATTTGATTCGGCTGATTCTGCTTTCGGATATGTTCTGGCTATTCCGCTCAATAGCTGGGAGAAGTGGTAGCACAGAACAAGTTTGGCAGTCTTCTGTCATCACTAGAGTAGTGTAGATGCAAATTGAATTGATTAAATCTCACAATGTTGGTCTAAGCTTTGCCATCGTGCATATTATCAAGAATCTATCAATATTGATAGACTCCTGATATTATTTATAACAAAGTTATATAGGTGTGTATTTTTGCATAAGTTGAAACGAAATTTAATTGAAACAAGTTATACACAGCTTTGTGCTCATTGCAGACTGTTGGTAGCACCTATGCTAGAGTCCAGCACAGCCTTCTCCAATTTCTGGTGTGGACAGGATGAAAATGTTAGTAACTACACATTTGGTTGTATGAGCTGATATATTATGCAATTTGTCTCATATGTTGTAAGAGTCTATAACCTCCATCAAGTGTACACTCATATTAAGATGTTTAATTTTGTTAAAAGAAGTGATTGTATAGCTGATTTATTTTTCCTTATAGGAATATCAATAGTACCAAAGGTGTCAGTAGGTACCATCAGTTTAATTATTAGTATTAAATACATAAAAGCATATCTTTCTTTTACTTTATAAATAGGTTCTTTTATTTTATAATAAGTTATGCTTTTATGATCATATCAGGAGTGTATCAAAATCAGTGTATCAAAGGAGTGTATCAAAATCATCAGTGTTTGATACACTCCTGATCATATCACATACCTAGCTCTAGTACTATAGCCCGCGGATCGCTGCCGCAGGGCTATAGCACATTCTGCCATAGATGTAATCTAAGCAAATGGTCCAACTGATGTGACCAAAAATTTATCCCCAAAACGTAAAATGATCGGGCTTTTTAACACTTATCTATCAACATGGACACCTCACCTATCTTTTTGAACACTTCCACAACTTTACACCAGGTATTTATGCTGTTATTCCTCAAAGTCTTAGCACTGAAGAGTCACGCGTGCACACATAAGCAGAGCAACCGCATTTGAAAACAAAACACCAGTAGTGCTAAGACTTTGAGGAATAACAGCATAAATACCTGGTGTAAAGTTGTGGAAGTGTTCAAAAAGATAGGTGAGATGTCCATGTTGATAGATAAGTGTTAAAAAGCCCGATCATTTTACGTTTTGGGGATAAATTTTTGGTCACATCAGTTTGCTTAGATTACATCTATGGCAGAATGTGCTATAGCCCTGCGGCAGCGATCCGCGGGCTATAGTACTAGAGCTAATCACATACCCTACTTCAAACCGAAGTTCCTGATATTAATGATGATATCTTATATTTGATATGATGTTTGCACGAAGGGTTATTATAAGAGAACGGAGGAATATCTGCCTACCCTGCAAAGAGAACGTCTTGGCTGTTTCCATGTTCCGATGATACATTCTACGTTTCTCATCGATCTTCGACAAAGGAAGTCTGACAGCTTGACATTCAACCCTAACAAATTGAAGGATTACAAGCATGCAGTGGATGACATCATTATTTTTGCGCAGTCTGCTAGAGATGCTGGTATGTGCTAGCCACTATTATTGTCAATCTCTCCTGATGAAGCAATATATAGTCCCCACTGTTAGGCAATTTGTATGGCCTGGAGGCTGGATGTTGTTAGAAGCTGATTAAAATAAACTGTTTGGGTTTCAGGTATTCCAATGTACATTTGTAATCATAAAGAGTTTGGTCACATGTCAGTTCCACGGCAGCCCCGAGAGACTCTGGAGTACGATGAAGAATGCTTCGCCAATCTCAAACTGGATGCAATGAGTATTTGAACACTTTTTTCGACTGTTGTTATATATAAGCAAAAATCCACGAACACTAATCGGCACATCTTTAGATATGGCTTTTATTAATTTTTGTACAATATTGAGAAATTAAAACAAGTATTGTAATTAAAAGCTGATCAAATTGAAAATAATACTGAAAGTTATGTTACTCTACTCCTGTTATAATTTACATCTGTGAGGAATGTACAGTCCAATATAAGACAAATATAGTTGATGGATGTGTGTGGCATGCCGTTCCGTTCACGCTTCAGATTGGTTTCAGTCAATACTAGCTGGTATCTTGGAGACATATCAGTCTGTGCCAGAGCCTAGAGAGTGAATGTAAATTAAATATGAATGTGTTTTAATGTGAAGTATGTCTAAAATTTTTATTTGTGTATGAATTCCATTGGACATGATTATGGTTAATCTGATTGGCTTCATCCTGAATTTGTGCCAATTATTTATTTCAGCGCAATACTCACAGTGGGAGTACAGGTGGAATAAGACGAGGAAACATTATGGTATGTGCATGGTGTCAAATTATTATATATCAATAAGATGTGTGTATATATATGTAAATATTTAGATGTAAGCACACACTGCTAGATAAACCTGTCTGCATGCAATCATGATTAGGCTTTGGGTTTTTACATTGAGTAGAGTGAATAGTATCTCCTGTAGATTTTCTATCTAGCTGGAGGCCAGGAGTTCTTATTCCAGCTAGCCTGCTAGATGTATATAGGTATTCCATCAGGTGTAAGATCATAATAGTTCTGCGTACAGAATCTGCTGTTATGGGACTCTTGTTATTAAAGTGTCAAAGCAGGTCAGGTATAGTATAGCATATTGGTGCATGTTTAAAGTTATTACCTTACGAAAACCCATATTAATAATATAAACCGGAGGCTTGTATGTCTTTTCACTGTATTCAATAATTGTTCACACTGTATGCACAACAAATACTCCTCATAGATGATAACTAAAAATAGACGAAATTACACTGGTAATATATGAGCATTTATATATTTTTTTGGTATAGAGTGAGTGTAGCTATTTTTACGTTGCTCAATTTGCTTAATCAACTGAATGTAATACTATAGAATAATACTATAGATTAATACTATAGAATGTGAGAGCATATTATGATACTTATTGCACACAAAATAGTATATACTTATATTTGTTCCGTTTGGTTTCCGTTATCAGATATTCCCTCATGTTACCGTATACAATGCTGAGTTTCAAAATCATAGATTTTTGGTTCTGCCATGACAAAAATCCAACTGTGCTGCTACCGTTGTGAAGTTGTGCTTTTGAATTTTAATTTGGAACATTTCACATTGCGAACTCATCTCTATAATGCAATTAACAAGTATTTAACCGAATGGCTTGTTTACGATAAATACATGCATGTAATCTCATTGAAATTAGAAGTGAAATGTAAGACATTGCAATCATTCTCTTAAGTTAACAAATAAGAAACGCCCCCAGTCTGTAGCTGGAAAGTTACATAGCGCAACTACATTAGCAAATGTATATGTAGTGGCACCCCCGTTGTTGTAGGCAAAGGATCACGGAAAGTTGTAAAACATTTAAAAAAACTTGAGTAAATATTGAACGACCAATTTTTTATGTAGCATAATTGAAACCTACTTCAACCGAAAATACATATTGAACCTAGAGTCTTCTTTCCATTTTAAGGAAACTAATTTTAAGGAAAATAATTCCTACATATTTTTGTCATGGTACAGGCTTAGGCCTACTCTAAACATGAAATGTCCCCTGCTCCTTGTATGCAGCTAGCCTAATCTGGGATCTATAGATCATTCATGCGTGAGTGAAAATGCCCTAGCTTGTTACACGCTGTATGCATCCAGAAGTGTCTGTATACAGCTAAACACGTGCAGTTTTATGATTGCATTCACCGGGCATTGACTTAGCCAGTGCTATACACTCCTCGGCTGGATTCCTTGTAGTTTCAGTCCAATTGCTATTAGGACTAGGACTTCCTGTCCAATTGTCTAACCATAGTGAGTGGAGTGAATGTGCATTTCTTATTTTCCTGAGTTCATTCTCGCTGATTGGTTATTGCAATTGAAAGATGCAGATTAAATGTAGATGTGGTTGAACTATTCGATCATCTAGATCTTATACTGGTGAATAGATTAACCTCGGATGTTGCGCCAATGAACCATATTGCTGTTACAACCACTTTCGTTGCATGCTGTATTTGTACTATGCTGTGCACAATATATAATGATTGGACATTTACAGGGTGTTTTGCTAGTTTGAAATTGCATACGAAGAGAATATTAAAGAGGGGTGATCACTGACCAGATGATGAGGTATAGGCCTACATAGGGGACAATTGTTGATTGTTGAGAGCAAACAACAATTGGAAGAAGAAATACTTGCAGTTCCTGGCAACTCCCTATGTACAGTCACTCATCAAATTTAGCTTGATAATCATCATATTCATAGTTGCTAATCTTATTACATTTACAGACAAAATAGCTTTTTTGTGTATGTATGTGATTGGGTATTTTTTGTTTACAAGTGATAATGCCTGTCATTGTTGCCAAAATATTTTATTACAATATACAATGTCAAATATCATAAGTTAATTAACTTGTCATTTACTTATATTTAAACACAAACCTTAATAATGCTAATTTAATACTAACTACCCCCTCCCCATAACACGTTTTTGAAAGTATCATTTTTGAACACGTTTGTATATTACACTGTTACACACGTGTCATCAATATTACAGTAACAAATAATTATATACAATACCTGCAATTTGCACTTGTGAATTATTTTCCCCAATAGATGGCGCAACGATGTATTTTGGCCAGCTTATACCTGTTGTCCTGTTCATAAGGTCCTTGTACATACTAACGTTATTTGTTATTAATGTATTGACCTGTCATTTTCCCTTTTAAATAAAAACTCGGAAACATTTTTTAATGCTAGTGTGTTTGACTTTAGGTGAAGCCGAACCAATGTTGGTGTCCAAATATGTCACTGTCCCAGAGAAAACGAAAGATTCGCTTGGCTTTGATAAGGTAACAATGATGTAGTTGTTCTGAAATATCTTGGATATATTGGTATGACTGTTTCAGATATATTGTGGTGATATTCTTACACAAAATACAAACCTAGCAAGATGTATGCTAAGTCAAAAATTAGTTACAAAAAAGCTATCTTCACATCTTATTCTTGAAAGATCAGCGTGTGTTTATTGTTTAAGAAACATCTAGCATAATAGTATAACTGTAAAATATAAGTACATTTATAACTATAGAAGAAGCACACAGAAGTACAGACAGTTGAAATATAGCAATCATAAGCTTTTATTACTCCTTACAAATCTAATATCTTTGTAAGTTACACAAGGTAAATGCTAACTGGCAAACAAGCGTCAGTGTTGTCATGTTCTTTTTTTAAATATAGCAGCATATATAGTATTTGTTTAGTACAAATAATTAGTATACTCAGTGTCTATGGTTAATTGCTTGAATGAAATATTCCTGTAATATTTGCATGTAGTGCATGCAATATATATAGTTAGTTCATTTATTTTCATCAATTATAGGAACATAAAATGGGGAGATTTTCCTTAGTATATTATCATAATGAGATATTGGGCACTATTTACCATACAATCAGCAAGAGGAGGGTTCCTAGATTCTGTGCCGATCTCTGGCCTGCCAAGTAGACTCCTTGGCCTTGTTAAAGACTAATTTGTCATGCAGAGGGTGGTCATAACTTAACTCATACACATTGTACATTCATGGCACTCTCAGCCAGTCTTAACAACTGAAATGCGTACGCCAGGTTGTAACAGCTTTTATATTTGGTCCGTCTTTCTGTCTGTGAGTGGAATAAGCACAGTGTAAAGAGATAACAATTTGTGTATTGTTGGTACTAGGTAATGACCATTAATTATTTTGTTGTAGTTATTTAATATATTGAACTTTTAGTTGACTTTATTAATAGCAGTTAATAACATACTAAATGACCATTAATGGTTATCCGAACGAGACGGGCGGGGAGTATTTTGTTCGGAAAACTGATCTGATCGTATTACCGTTAAATATTCACGAGACCTTGAGATCTTGTTCGGATAATCCGAAATTCGGATAATTGATGCTCGGATAACTGAGGTTTGACTGTATACCGTACGGGCATTATTTTTATCAATGATTGTCTATTTTGTGCACATATAGACTAATCAAATATAATTTTACAGTGCACTGCCATTCACATAATCATATCATTAACCAGAAAAATCTATGGTGTCCCCAGACATTATTCTGTGGTTGATTACAATAAGGTGTGTATTAAATTATTAGTATACTCATGATATAATGTATATATATATGTATATGTATATATATATATGATATTTTTACACATCATTAATAAATAAGTCTACCATATAGTACATCATATACACATGGACCACCATTCTTCTATTGACTAATAGCAGTTACAAATTTGAGCTCAAAATAAGTTGCCTGCTCAGGTCAAATGGTTTGCTTGCCGTGAATTTGCCTGCAAAGTGGCAAAGACTGGCACTGTGCTTTCTATTTTATCATTTTGTCACTACCTCTAGTCAAACTACTGTGTGCACAGCTAATCTTGATGCAGCTTTAGCTCACATATCTCGTCTGAGAGTATCAACCTTGTAGAATATTGTATCGCGGTGCCACTTGCCACCTGCGAGTTAATTCATGACATGTTCTGTTGATTATTTCACTCTCGTAGCTTGTTAGCGTGACCTATTGTCCTCCATTTCGTTTTAAGTGTTTTCTGTCACAATTAAGTATCTTCCCTGTTAACAACCTTTAAGTTCGCAAAGTTTCGTATGTTCTATCAAGCACGACCATGCCAATTAATTGCCAACATTGAACTGCTGTATGTGATCAGGTCAATCATATGCTAACATTGACCCAGCACATGGGCGGATCCAGAGGGGGGGTCGAGGGGGTCCGGACCCTCCCTTTTTACCACAAAAAAAGGGAAAAAAACACACACACATGCACGCACGCACGCACGCACGCGCGCGCGCACACACACACACACACACACACACACTCTTCTCTTATATTGTCTCCATAAAAAAATCTTGTTTAGCTCTAGTTTTTCTGATAAAGATTTACTTATATATATGTAAATTCGTTATAAAAACCTAGAAATGGTCAAAGGGGGGTCCGCAGGCGTCCGGGGGACCGGATCTGATAAATTTTTGCATTCTAGACATCAAAATTACTGCTCAGATGCTCTCAGAATGCACCAATTTTTTAAAAAAAATCTTGGGGGGGGTCCCCCAACCCCCACCCCTTAAGTGGCCTTCGGCAGCTTTTTAAAACACCAGAAAAAGTAAGCAGGAAAAAGTGCCCTTTATTTCTTCCTGGACACCCCTTTTCAAAAATCCTGGATCCGCCCCTGCAGCAACCACGTGCCAACACTGACCACATCAACCACATGGATGTGTTGCCCCAACAGCACATTGCCAACGGTGATCATGGCAAAGCGGATGCATGCGTGCTGGGATGGTTGATATATGAGCAACAGACTGCCACTCCCCGCCATCTTACCGTCGCATATACCATTTTTGTCTTCATCTGCTACTCCGTCATTAGACGTGCTTGTGTTGCTCACGGTGCAGGTGGCGCCACGACTCGTGTCCACCACACGTCCGTTACACGCACGTCAGACGACCGTTTCTCTCGTAGGAGGCGCCACTCGTGCTTACGTCTCGGCCGTAGGCTGACATGTTGACTGTTGTGCGCAGGTGTTCCTGATCAACTTGCTGCGGCGACCCTTTCGTCGCCGACGCATGCTGGCGTCCCTGGCTGAACTTAGAGTTGACGCAGCTATAGTTGACGCTACGGACGGAAAGTAAGTCAGAGTTATAACTTTCCGCATGCGATCCCACTACTTTTTCCCCAGATGGGTCTATAGGTGGGAGGGAATTCGTGGGAGTGATTGAAAATGTGGGTGGAAATTGTTGGTAGGTGATTCTATGGGGGCATGGCAAATTGGAGTGAGTTGGAGTGAAACAGTCGTGTGGTTATATTGGTGTTGGTTGGGTGTAGGGTGGCGTAGGGGTTGAAGGGTGTAAGTTGAAGGAGAGTTATATACACAGGACAGAATTTGGAGCTAAGTAGATCACATGAGTGGAAGTCGAGGTTTTTTAGATACAGGTGTCAAGCAGCTTTAGTCACTTTGGCAATAACTGCATGCGATTGTTTGAGAAATATCTGGCCGAAAAGGTTTGTTACATTGCCATACATGATTGCAAAAATGTATATATGAGCAAAAAGCCAACGTGCTTAAGAATTTAGGCTTTGATGTAATTGGACCTTTTTTGTTCATTTTTATTGGCTTGAATATTTTTTTGAAGTTGTGTTAATTGTTCTGATGATATGGAGGGCAGTTAGTTCCCTATTGCATTGAACAGAGATAGAGATCTTCATTTCAACGTCGACTATATTATGTATCGGGCAATTATTGCTGCGACTCTATTCTAGGTGGCAGCAGTAGTCCACGTTATAATCGACCCGTGAGCCGACTGTCTAGGTTTGCCAGTGTGATTATTTTATATTGGTTAATGGTATGTTTGCCCACTTTACAAGAGCCTAAAGGCAAATACAATTAGGAACGGGGAGATTGTCTGCGATTATATTCAGGTTCAGGGACAGATATAAAACAGTTGAAAGGGGAAGTTTGCAGAGTTAGCAATACGGAGTGCACAAATGGGTTTTACACATTTAAAGAAATAGGGTTGCAATCCAAAAGATTCTAAAACGCAAGTGTTCTAAATAAAAATCATATTCTGTAAATATCGGCTAGTAGACGCTGCTTTTCTTCCCATTGGCCAATCCCTCTGTCTTTATCTACCTTGCAGTTGCACCTGTGTGACTTCTATGACTAATATCTAATGAAGTATTCCTGGCCCTTTATTGTAGACTCGTTATGTACATTAGCTCAGTGGCGTAGTTAGGGGGTGGGGGGGCAAAGGGGGCCATGGCCCCCTGTTGATTCAAAAGTTCAAAAAATAAAAATTGTTCTACTAAAAAGAGAATTGTCGTAGTCAAAATGAAGGCTGTACATGTACTCAAAAGTGCCTCAAATACCATCTGCAATCTACATTTTCCAAATTTTCTATACCCCACCTGTTTTTTACCCCCCTTGGAATCCTGGATCTGCCACTGAACAGTTACATGTCTTGGAAGCAGAGAACAACGAACAAACATGTCGCCCTTTTGCATGGCGCCCAAAACAGATTGAGAGGTGCAGGTGGGGGAGCGTGGGGTGTGGAGAGGGAGGCAGAGGAACAATTAAAATATTAAGTCATCCACTATTTTGCGCAGTTTGCTGTTTTTGGCCCCTCTGTTAAAAAATCTTGGCTACTGTGAGTACGCCCTGCATTAGCTAAGCTCAGTGTTTGAATAGAATCACCAGTATGTCTCTGACTGCACGGCCGCAATCATCACTTGTCCTATGTAGATTTCCATTGCTTGAAATACAGGAATTTTGGCAGCCTTTGTACAGACGTTTTGCATTAGGCTGGCAGATTCCGGTTGTCATTACTATGTCATAAATGACAAACAACTCGGATAGATTTAATGGCTCTATTGACCAACATGTCGTGGATTTTACATCACATGTTTCAAATAAGCGGCTTTCAGCTACACGTATTTAGGAACCAGCCTGTAAGTGAAGCAATTATGATTTGTATAAATAGTATGTTGTAGGCCCGGCTAAACTCAAAGAAAAGTGAAGCAGACATAAATTCAATCGCCTCTTAGATCCACTTAGCGCAGCATTGATAGTTGTACTAACCAGTTTGTTAGTGAAGCACTGCTAGATACGTGTTCTAGCAGTTCTAGTTCATGCTAGCAGTACTAGCAGTGTAATAGCAGTACTAGTTCAGGCAGTTGTAACTTTGCCGCTGCTGCCACTAGCGGCGCCACTGCCGCGTGAGCACATGTTCAGGTACTCTCCACTGAAGATTCACAGTCATACGCCAGCGTCGAGATGTGGGCTAATAGCAGTGGTTTAACGTCCTGCAGGTTTTGTCATGGCCTGATGATGGAGGGTCCATTTATATCGCAGGGCAGTCTTCAGAGAGCCATTATGTCCCCGCCTGTGTGCCCTCAGCGCACGGGACATGATAGAATATGCATAAGAAAGATAGAGACGCGGTAAATGCGGCTAGGCCCTTGTGACGTGGAAATAATTGATGTGTTCGCAGCGATCGGAACGAAGAATAATGGGAAGCTTACCGTCTAGAAATCATCAATGGGAATCTAATTGAGAAGGATGCATGTAAAATGCGCCCCGATGGATAGCATTTCAATAACTAATACTATACTCATGTACACCAATTACTCAATCTTATTCTCTCCGTGTCTCTCTACTCCCCACTTCCCTTATCTTAGTATCCGGCTCGCTGTGTGGCCAACCTAACCGCGCTCTTTTCTATGCTTGCATTCAGTCGCTAATTCACCCATCTCTTGTGAACAAAGATAACAAGTGGGTCATCTTTCGCAGTCACTAGAGTCCCCTTTAAATGGAGGGACTCTAGCAGCCACGAGGGTATTCAGTCACGTCTGCCAATCGGGCGGCCATCTTTGTTTGTCGAACACCAATCAGGAGCGTCGAGATTAGGTTGTACGCATGTCATCATTAGTGCGCCTGCTAAACTGCGTCGTAGTGCGAAGAGTGTCGTCAAAATGTTTGCGCTCTTCTCGAAGCTGAAGTGGAGAAAATTAAAAGCGTGAGAGCGTTTTTCAAGCGCAATGATTTTCGCGAGTATCTCTCTGCACGCCAATCGTAAAAAAGGAGTTGAGGGAAGGGGTAAGGGGTTACCATGACGATGCACAGTAGCTTTGTCACGAGCGCGGCAGATACGAGTGCTAGAGAAGCATGTGTATATGTGCAGGCGTGCGTTAGTGGGCAGGTGGGTGATCATAGGATGGTGTGGTAATGCTAGCGCGGGGTTAAACCGATGTGTTCGCTACAAACCATCAAGCATTATTAATGCAAATGCAAGATGCAAATTTGTGCATTTTATGATAATTTGTGATAATTTGTGCAATTCCTGCTATCATTGTACTCGTATATCCACACTTACAGCAGCACTGAGACAGCAGTGAAGGCACCGGTCTGCGAACCGCCTACATCGCGACACGTTAACAGACGCGACAACGTCTACATTTGATGTTAAGGGCAGCCGCGAAAGCAACCTGGTTGTGGTAGATGCTTTGGAGGGGAAGCGAAAGTGGGGGGTGGGGGAGGGTGAGCACCGCATTCACGAGGATGTAAACATTGTGTGAACCTGTTTGTTGTCAATACCACACCGCTTCTCGCTGTGCCTGCCCGTGGTAGAAGCCAAGCGGTGAATGGCCACCGAATGGTTCCCGCTTGACGTAAAGGCATTCATAACCAGCAGCGCGTGTTCAAACAGACGCATTAAGGCCATATATTGCCACAGCGCTGCCGCGGAGATGTCAAACAAATGCGTTTCCCGTTCGTCTATACACGGCGCATAAAAGCTGACGTGGCGTTATTTTTTCGGCGCCTAGATGACCGAGTTTAGGCGGTATTTATATTACGCTGACGAAAAGGCGAGGCATTGCCCATAAGGTAAAAATTTCTGAGTGAAAGTCGAAGCGAAACAAGTTAACAATGCATGCAAACTGTTTTACATATGAAATTCTATGTTATATCTGATGCACGGTAATTTATTCGGACCATATTTCCGCGCAAACACTTCCCTTTCACGCCTTTATGGGGAGCATGTAGTAAATGTGTTATATGAGAACGATTATTGGCCAAGCAACGGCTGCAATATACCTAGCGGGCGAAAATTGGATTTTGTCGACTCACGAGTTGTCGAGACTGGCACGCGTACTAGTACGTGCAGAAATTCTGCACCTCTCACAGTTTAATTGTTCAGAAAAAAGCCGATATCCTTCGTTTCGTCGGTAAAATTCCCCTTAGGTTCGCGGCATGGGTTCGCACGCCGTCGCCATGTAATCGCACACGCCCGCGTACTTACGATCTGCACTGGTGTGTAGGGTGCAGCGTTGCAGCCGGCTGAAAGGTGCGATAGGATATGTTTACTAGGCACTTCTAATTTTAACATATATTTCACGATATATTAAAGAATGATACAAAAACCCTAACCCTAACCCTAACCCTAACCCTAACCCTGACCCTAACTCTAACCCTAACCCTAACCCTGACCCTAATTAAATTTAAAATATATGTTAAAATTAGAAGTGCCTAGTAAACATATCCTATCGCACCTTTCACCGCTGCGTTCAGGCAGCGGTGAGATGCGCTTGTGTCGTGTTTCCGTGACGGTCGTCTAAACGCTGGGATGAGCAAGCCCACCAGCCTTCTCTTTATCTGTCGCATTCTCCCTTCTCCCCCACCGCGATCCACTCCTCCACCCTTCTTCTTAACACTCCCGAGTCCTTATCTCCACCTCCCCCGTTTCTTTTTTCTCCCCACCACTCATCATCCACCTCCTTTTTCATTCTCCCCGTCTTCCTCGTCCTCCTCTTTCTTTCAGCCTCTCATTCACGTCTCCTGTCGCTACACCGCTCTTCGCCTATTGCGTATTATAGCTTTCATGCAACATTCCGTGATACGTAATCAGTGCGTGCAATTACGGCCGATGTTATCCGTTTAAATGTAGTGATTTCGGGTTTCTTGGTATGTGGATATGATTCAATCGTAGTACTACTAATGAACTCTTGGATGCGTGCCTGATACTGATACGCAATTATCCGTCTTGTGCTGAATCGCATAGAAAGGGCATAGAGGGTCATTTAAAGTGCACGCACACGTCCAGCAATTTTATTAAAAAAATACGGTTAGAATTTGATAGATTTTAGTA